CTTGGAATTCTATGGTGACTCCTGTAGTGGATCAGTTCTTATCTCTACCATAGGAATGGACCTTAGGAGCCCATCCCTCATGGAGGGATACAGCCTGAGCCTAGACACAAGGGGATTGGCCTAGGCCCTATTCCAAAGAATATGACAGACATTGAAGACCCCCTATGGAAGGTCTCATTCTCCCTGGGGAGCAGAAAGGGTATGGGATAGATAGGGCATTAGTTGGGGGGTCAGGGGAGGAGGGAAGGGAGAGGGACCTGGGATTGATAAGTAAAATAATTTTCTTTCCAATAAAAAAGGAGAAAAAAGAAGTAAGGATCTGTAGTAAACATGGAATCCAGGAGGATAAAAACGGAGCCATGGTGAGAGCACTAGATGGTAAATAGTGGAAGGAAGGAGGACCGGGTAGGGGAGTCTTCATTGGGAAGAGGAAAGGATATAAATTAAAGAAGGAAGAGAGGGGAAAAATAAAATAACATTAATGATGTCTGATAGTTCATAAGGGGTCATTACATATTTACCTAGAATTACATATAATACGTACCTACATATTGGTAATTATTTGTGAAATCTGTACTATGTTAATATTAGCTATTACTTAGAGAGGAATAGAAGGGGAAGACAATTGAACTCACTGAAGGATTCTGAGCTTTGTAATAAATCAAAGTATGTAAAATTAAAAGGTATTGAATACACAAGCCAAACTGATCAGTGGTATAATTTAACACATTGTTTTTAACAATAGTATGCAAACATGTAGACACTCACATAAAAAACATGTCTTATGGAGTACATACTTAATCTTATAGGAACACAGATTGTGCATATTGAATGTCAATTGTCCTTTGGGGTCCAGAGAAGATATCTCAAACATCTGGTTTGGCTTAGACAAGTGTATATCTTAATAAAATTTATTCTCTCAACATCTTTCCCCTGGATATAGTAATGAGAACAGGAGTAAGGGGAGCTGGGAATCTTCTGCCCAAACTCTGTGGAGCAAAAGAGTCGGTTAGTGATGCATAAAAATATATTTTTATTAGTTTTTATCTAAAATATACTTTGTGAATACTCAAAAAAGAGAAAAGAAGTTTAAGTCATCCTAGCTCCACCCCTGTGTGCAAGGTCCCAGACACATGTGGGGTTGCTCTAGCATCAGGCCCTGGCTCTGGCTATACCCCTGCTTGAGGCAAGGCAAGAAGCACTTAGTAGAAGACAGTATGTGTTTCTTGTGTCTGGTTAGCAGAGAACACGGGGTTTCCCTCCCTTAGCTGACAGCACCTATCCTGTGTTGTGACTGGGGTTCTTGTGATTATCCATCAAATATCCAAACTTCTAGTGTCCCTTCCTTTGTCTGGGGTGGGGAGCAAGATGGAGTGATACAGGAGGCAACTTGGTGAGATACATACACTTATATACATCTTGTTTAGTGAGTGCCTAGAAGCTGGTCAAAATGCAGAGAGTGACAGACCATAGTGTTCTCACCCAGAGCTGAAGCGCCTATTAATGCACCTACTGATACAACACCTTCTCCTAAAACTCAGGAATCATCACACAAGAGGGTACCAAAAGATGGTAAGACTAAAGGACCAGAACATGTGCTCCAAGATGTTATCTTCTCTAAAAGACAGGGAAGATACACCCATGATATCTCAAGAATAGGATTGCCTTACTAAGACCTGCACAACAAAGCAGTCAGCATATCACTGGGTATGGGGAAATTTCTCAAGGTTTCACCCATAGATAAAGAGCTACAGGCAGCTGTGTCCAATGAGAAAGGAAGAACAAATTTTCCCCATATTCAAGCCCCATAATAGGTTATTCGATCACAAGGGGACAACATTTAATACAAATGCATACAAGCAAACTAAATGGATTCACCAAGCTATGCATATGAACATACACACATACATATATACATACATTCATAAATACACACATGAATCCATACATACATGCTTATGTACATGTGTATGTATGACAATACTAATTAAAAAAATAAGAGTGAATTTGAAGGGGAATGGGGAGGAGGAACACCAGAGGAGTTGGAAGAGGAAGAGGAGGATGAAAAGAATGTGAAAACAGTCAGTGTGAGAGAAATTCTCAATGTTTTATTGTTAAATTAAAAAACTAATGTTCAATATTTTGTCCCTAAAAGACTCTTTCTGAACATTTCCACAACTCTATGAAGGCCAAGGAGTGATGTGAGGGAGCAGGGACTGGAATGTTATCTGAAAGAACAGCAGGTCTCAGCTGGATACATTTCTGTGTGAGGCAAGTCTTATCTGTAAGAAGGAACAAAGTCCCTGCATTCCTGCACACACAGCAAAGCTAGATGTTCCTCAGGATGCTGATCACCCAAGGACAAACACAAACCAATGCCAGTGCTTACAGAGTTTAATCTTTAACATCCTCCCCTCTTAGTGCTGGGAACAGAGGGAGGCAGACAGGATAGAAACACTATTGTCCAACTGGTAGCCCCAGAATACTCCCTGTTACCAAGCTTTGATAAGCCACACCCCACCACCTTAAAGTATTTTGTAGCATCTGTCATTTCTCTTCATTATTGATTTTTGGTTTATTACAACAGGCCTGAAAAATAACGAGGTATTATCCTGATTTTGGTACTTCTTAAACCTCATTGTGTTGCATATAGTGACATTCCATTTGGAGAAGTTTCTGTGGGTGTGGAGGAGAATGTGGACATTTTGTCAAATGAAATGTTGTGTAGATAGCCCTTAGGTACACTGTGGTGTAATTGTAGTCTTAAAATTCTTGATTTAAGCTTTTAATATTGTATTTATGTTTTTTCCATGTGTGTGCACATGTATGAAATATAGTCATAGTGGGAAGTCCATTCCTTTCTTATCATACCATGGGAGTTCCTTGAATTGGATTTGGATAACCAGACTTGGAAGTCAGCTTCAGTACCTGCTGAGCCATCTCACTGGCAGTACTTAGCTGAAATTAAGTGTATGATCTATCTTAAGATGGAGTGAGGTATTGAAGGATGTGCTACTCTTGGGTCTGTGAGACTTTTATGACCATTTGTGATAATTTCATGAAAATGGGAGCCCCAGCTCTTGGTACATACATATTTAGAACCATTGTAGCATCTTTAAAGGCTATTCCCTTAATATTGTGAATTGGCCTTCTTTATCACTTTTGACTAATTTTTGCTGGACTCCGTTGGATATCAGAATAGCCCCATGCCTCAACTTGTGTTTAGCTTTAACTCACATGATAGACTAACTTTGATACACCCTTTGATACAAAAATCTGATTTCAGGATAGGAAAAAGAAGTACCAAAAATGCCTCTGAGTTAATGAAAGGACTATGAAAATAATCCCATGGTTATATACTTGAGTGTAAAATTATTAGTATATGTACCCTTTAAGAGTTTTGAACATACATGTACCAAGTTACATGAGGACACTTTTACACAATTAAAAATAGAAGACCTTAATAACAAAATTGAAACACTATGCAGAAGATTCTGTTCAAATAGAGCAAAATAGGAAAATAGAACATAATTATTTCATCTCTCTTCACAGACAAAATATAGAAATAAAGACCAACTTAGTATTGATGAATGCCTATGGTACCCCAATTGTAAATTATAGTTTCCCACTAACATTAATTTACTCCTCTGATAAATACATGTTACCAGTTCTAGTTAAGAAAATATACACTATAGCCTAGAACACACTTGCATATGATAACAAAACTATTAATTCCTTCTGAGGGTGTTTGACCAAGTTTGGATTAAACAGGAAAATGAAACTGATTTCTGAACACTTTGAGTATGATTTTATAGCAGCTACATCTTTGCAAGTTCAAGGCCATTCTGGTCTACAGAGTGAGTTACAGGCTGGCCAGGATTACATGGTAAGATCTTGGCTCAAATAAATAGAAAGACAGATAGGTAGGTAGATAGATAGATAGATAGATAGATAGATAGATAGATAGATAGAATCGTAGATAGATAGACAGAAACACAGATATAGATATAGATGTGTAATATATCAATATATAATATAATAGTATATTATAAATTTCATTTAATGCTATCATAAATGCACATTCTATGTTGAGCTTCTGGTAACTCTTTATTGCTAAAACCATCTAATGCTCTCTGTGCACAATATTCAGTAACAGGCAATTAAATAGGCCCTTCACTGAAAAATGGAATCCTTGACAAGGGAAAACACCAATCAAGTAGCCCTTTTGCCAGCCATTGACCAGACTCTGTGGTGGCAGCCTGGCTGTTTGGGACTGTCTACAGTCACTGTAGATGATCACTACAGCCACAACTGAGAATGTGCTCAGGCAGCCTGCAGACCTTACAAAGCACAGTGGACTTCAGATACTTCCTACCCAGGAACTATTCACACCCTAGCCAGACAAAGAGCATGTCCTATAGTGCTCCAACAGAAGCCCTCGGTTTGATATTAAGGACAAGGTGCTAACATGACCATTCCATGAGATGAGAGATGTGAACACAAATTTCCCACATAAGCTTCTGTCTAGACAAGGAGGCTACTGTCTTGAGCTTCCCAGGAGGCACACTGATTGCCACCCACTCATTCTGAGACATAGGCTCAATAACAGCCTTGTTACAATTGTTTATTCCTTGCCTGGTTTTGATCTCTAGCATTGGGGAAAAGATTGAGCTCATAGCATGGGAAGAGGAAGAAAATCAGGGACCACCGAGTGCTGCTGATAGAAAGATTACCTTACAGGTCGTGTATATGTTTAGTGCTCCATGAAGCAAGGAAATGTGAGAGGAATAAGCAAATAAGTAAGTCACAGAAGAGGGGTTTGGTGTATTGCCATTGTGGGAGTGGCTTATTTTGGGTTTTGCTTCTGGGAACAAAGTGTCCATTGCCATTGTCTGAGAAAACTATAAATTCACTAGAGGCTATCTAGTCTTTTCTGTGAGTGAGCTCTGATCATCAGCGTCTGGCAATAACAACATTCTGCAAGAATCTGCTCAGGAGAAATGGAAAACCTACTGAAGCTGTGTCTCTTTCTTCTCTGCTTTGAAACTGGTAAGTATTGCCTGCAATTTTTTTCCTTATCTACTGAAGGAAGAAAATGAATTGCCTTTAATTTTACCCTGCCTTGTCTATGGTGTTAAGACGTGTTGTTGACTAGAGCACACATATTGGGCAAAACATGGGTGCAGCTAAATGATCCCGAGGTCCAGATTTCCATGGGAATTGACAGCATGGCACCTGTCTCCTTTAAGCAATCTTTATCTTTGCAGCTCTCGCTGTACAATGTGTACTGTGTCCATCTTACAAAAATGGAAAGTGTGTTGATGGGAATCAGACATGCACTACAAAACCTGGTGAAACTTGTATGATCCGCAGAACCTGGTCTGTAAATGAAAGTAAGTATGTGCTCTGTGCCCTGGAGAAATTCTGTTTCTCCTTCAGGATTCCAAACACCATGGCTAAGATACTTTACTTAAAGACAAAGAGTTTACTGATATCCAGTTATGATATTCCAAACCTTGTGCTGGGGTCAACTTTTGAAGAATGCTAAAGCTAAGCATATCTGGAGTGAGTGGGGCTTCTCTCCATGATTGTATTTATACATTCGTCAGTCCTTGATCAGCAACATCTCTGCTTTTTAGTGTCTGTCTTGGTTAATTTTCCATTCCCATGACAAAAGAGCATAGCCAAAACAACAACAAAAGAAAACATTTAATTTGGGGCTGGCTCAAAGTCCCAGAGTGAAAGTGCATGAGGATCATGGTTCATAGCATGGCAGAGGGCATGAAGGAATGGTACTGGTGCAGTAGCTGAGCATTTCCATGCTGAGTCACAATCAGGAGATGGAAAATGGAGAGAGAGGGAGAGAGAGATAAGAATGAAAGTCCGGTGCAGAATGACTTCATCAACCTGGATCAGGGAGTCTAACTCCAGGTGGTTCATTGTCAGCATACTTAAAACACAGTACAATTTGGGATAAGGATACCATGCAACAGTCAGTCAGTCCAGTCAGTCCAATTCCAGGTGCACAACAAAGCTTAAGGTGTGGCATTGGCTTTTGAAACTCCAAATCCTATCCCTAGTGGCCCAACAAGGCTACAGCTCTTAATTCTTCCAAAGAACTTTGACCAAGTGGGAACCTAGCATTGAAATATTCAAGCCTATGAGGACTTTTCTAACTCACACTGCCACAGGGACCAAAGGCTACTAAATATCAGTCCTTAAATATACCATTTCTCGAACTTTTCCCTGATGGCGTTAGCTTTTCTAATGTTCATTGAGCTTCTATCTTAGCCTGGAATCACATTCCCTGGATAATCTTTTCTCATCTTCAGGACACCTTGTTGCTTTTGAAGTCTTCCTGATTCATCTGTCTTTTGGTACCTTTCATAGTGTGTCCTTCCTGCCATTCCATAGAATCTGGTTCTTGGGGGCTAAGATTATCTTCATCTTGACACTGAATTGGATCCCTGCCTGCATATCTGCTTACGGGTTGATGATGGTCTACATGTAGAGCCTCAAGCTCACCACTAAGCAAATTCTTGTCCTGTAGTAAAGGCTCTTGGATGAATGGAATTTCTCCACATGTAGCTTAAATGTATGTGTCAGGAAGGCTTAAAGGCATGGAGCACCAACTCCCATTCAAGAAATTTCATTCATTGAAGGTGTCCTCAATTCAAAAGTACTTGCATATGAGATTGTATCCTGGCTCTCAAAATTATATTTTTTTTATTTCTTCTTCCACAGGCAATAAACTGCGAAGTGCGGAGTTGAGGTGCACGGATGACTGTAAATTTGATGAAATTTTTTCTGAAGGTCTAACAATACATACATACTGCTGCGATTATGAAGATTTCTGCAATAGCATTGACTTACCAATTGTGATGTCCTAGTGTCAGCTAGTTTAAGCTGACCTCATCATTCATTTCTTTTACTTCTGGTCTTTCTTTTCTTCCCTTGGGTTTCATATTTTTCTGGACTAGAGATTTTTCTAAGCCTCACATTTGTGCAAGTCATAGAACCTGAGGACAGACAGACATTCCTTGTTATTGTGAAAATATATCTGATTATATCAGTTAATTGTTATTCCTGATATTCCCTACCCTCATCAACATGAATGTTGCTGACATGTGGTTATATCAATGCATTTATCACATCAGTGGTTCTTGGTAAAATAAATAAAAAGTAGATAAAGGATGGCAAAGTGTACCCTAAAAGATGTGTTTTAGAAAATTGGTTGCAATTTTTATCATTGTGACTTACACTTCCAGGGAATAATTTAAAGCAGGAAAGATTGTTGCTGATCCTGGTTTCAGGCCTTTATTATCTTGTTCCATTGCCATGGGCCTATAGTAAAGTTAAACATCAATGGCCAAGATATACCAAAATTTCTCATGTCATGGTGTCCAGGAGTAAACAAGCCAGAGGATGGGGTAAGTTAAGGATGCTAACAAAATACCCTCAGTGGACTGCTCTAACAAAGTAAGCATCACAGCTGAAAAGAAAAAACATCTAGATGGTCTTGTTCCAATGAATGACAAAAATCGCCGCTACAAGGCTGTTATACCAAGTTTCACCCAGTGAAGAAAACCTCCACCTATTGTTTCTGTTATATTGCTGCCAGAAAATAAATGCACTAAATGCTTACTACTCTTTGAAAGATGTTTTTTTTTCTGAGCATGTAGAACCCAGAGTGAAAATGGTGTTGACGCTAAGTAAGAATGATTTGAATTTGCAAGCCCCTATTCCCTCCCACCATCAAAGTTCAGGTACTTTAGGATTAAACTTTCATTTCATGTATACTTAATGCTCAACACTGAGTGGAATCAGATTTCTTCTCTATGTGTAAGTATTGTGGGAAATTGCCAATATGGTGCCAGGTAAAAATTCAAGGGAATTTATTAGGGAAAAGCCTTACTTACAGAGTGAACTAGCAGCCGGCAGGGCAACAGTAAGTACAGCAAGCTAGAGATGAAATGGAAGAAGGGGATGCCACATGTGCACCCCCAACTCTTAAACCTTCCCTACATCATCCTGACCATGCCTCCAGATGTGTGTTCAGTCACAGCTGTAGCCAGCCCCTAGCAGGCATGGCTACAGTGCCCCCTACAATTCCCCTTTTAGAATAAAAGAGGATTAAAACTTAACAGTGTAAAGTATCAAAAATTAACAATCATAAAGTTAAAATATAAGAAAATACAACAATCTGCTTATGTCAAATCCTAACTATCTATTTTAACTAAACCCTAAAGTCATCTGAAAGAGGTGTCCAAGCCTGAATACCTCCTTCCAATCCCAACCCTAAACAATAGGAAGATATCCCTAACTTGGTATATACTATCGTATGTAACAACAATGGGGGGAAAGGGGCAAAGTATCCTCCAAGTTACTTCCTGCTGAAATGGGACAGTGAGAGCCTCGTGGGGTCCTGTAGGAAGAAAATATTACTATAGTGAAATTCTTGAAAGGATTGTATCCAGTCCATGTTAGATTGGATTTGCTTGATTGAAGACCTCAGTTGAAATCCTCAACTTAATTGAAGTCAGTACCTGAAGCTCTGGCCTGAGTGTCAGTTGAAATGGAGTAAGTTGGAAACAGTGCAGTCAAGGAGGTGTGGCCCATTTTCTTCTCCTGGGGCATCCAAGGATTGCTGTCAGGCAGGTCTTCATTGGCTGTGTGGGACTCTAACATAAATGTTAGCAGGGAAATGTTTGCTAGTGTAAGTATGTATACTGGAAAAGGCAACCATAGGAGAATAACAATTATGACAGGGTATACACCTTGAAGGAAAAAGCCAAGAAAAGACAAGGACAGTCCCCAAATTCTGCTCTTTTCTGTATTAAATCAATTGGCTTCTTGATACAATACAGAAACTCTAAAGTTTAGTTAAACATCATGCTTGGATTTTAGAGGAGGAAAGCCAACTCCATCTCTAAAACCAGCATTGGTTTAATTGAATAGGAAATAGGAAATAAAGAGAAATAGGGTTCTCTGAGAGACAGCTGTAAAGTTTACTGTATGACGAGTTCCCTTTTTTTGATGGTTATTGCTACCTTCTCTTCTTAAGTATCTACACATGCAGTGTCCTTTGACTTCTGGCGATGAGTTTTCCTGTGAAGATAAAAGCAAAACACTTCCCTTTCCTTTGGGAGGTTTCTATTTAGTTCATGAGCTATACCTTAGTAGAATACCTGTCATTTCTCCTCGTCAAGAGGTGTTTCCTTTTCAACTTGAATCTTGATCAACTTCAAAGGTATTCAAAGTTTTTCTTCTCCTGTGGAAACCAATGCAAAATCCCTACCCCATCGTAACACATGTCCTGGTTTCTATACAGAGGTAGGTACATCTTTGAAGTATACCGGCTGATTCATTTCAGCAGTTTATTGCATAGTCCATTGTCTTTCTGCAGCTGTTTGTCCTTTAAGAAAGTTTAGTGTTAATAAAGCATTATCCAACCTATGCTTGGGGCATTGAGTTTTCCCAGCCTGTCTATGGAGCATCTCCTTATGTGTTCTATTAGATCTCTCAACCACTGCTTGTCACATAGGATAGTGTGGTATAACAATAACATGCTTTATGTTATAATATTTGAAAAACTGTTCCAATTTTGTGGAGACATATGTTAGAGCATTGTTAGTTTTTATTTGTGCAGGTATACCCATAACTGCCATCACTTCTAACAGGTGTGTAATAACAGAATCAGCTTTCTCAGAGTTAAGAACAACAGCCCATTGGAACCCTGAGAATGTGTCTATAGTATGATGCATATATTTCAAATTTCCAATTTCTGCAAGTGAAAGGCATCCGTCTGCCAAACCTCATTTCTCCAAATGCCCTTGGGATTACAGCCTGCTGGCAATGGAGCTTGATTATAAAAAGAACAAGTAGATCAGTTTCTCACTATCTCTTTGGCTTGTTGCCAAGTGATGGAGAAGCCCTTTTCAAACCTTTGCTATTTACATGATGTTTCTTATGAAATTCTGAGGCTTCCAGCACTCTTCCTATTAATAAACTATCAATATCATCATTGCCTTGCGCTAGTGGGCCTGGCAGACCCTTATGGGATGTGATATGTGTAATGTATATAGGATTACTTCTGTTTCTGATTGTTTCCTGTATTCGTATAAACAGTGAAGTTAATTCTGTATTATCAGGAACGAATTCTGCAGTCTCAATGTGTAACACGACTCTCTCTGCATAATGAGAATCAGTAACTAGATATTAAGAGGTTCTGTGAAATCCATGAGTACCATGAGAATTGCATATAATTCTGCCGTCTGTACAGATGTATACAGACTTTCAACTATTTTACTTACCTAACCTGCCTAATAACCTGCCTTAACTGATTTGTTGCCATCAGTTTAGAAGGTAAGAACTCCAGAAATGGGAGTTTGTCTTACAATACGTAGAAGAATCCAGACTGTCTTTTTTATTAATTTAATTCTGTTAGTTTTGGGGATAATTGTTGCTAATCATTACCAAGAGTCAATAAGAGCTATTGGCCAATATTCATTATTCTTCCACACGGAGGAAATTTCTTCATTACTTAAAGGTACTATAATTACTGCTTTTCTAGTCAGTTGACGGATCTTTTCTAGTCAGTTGACGGAGTCTTAATTAGCCCTTTGGAATCAAATCAGAAATCTTTTCTATATATGTCTTTAGTTTTTTATTCTGTTTATGTGGCAAGAATATCCACTCCAATATGGTGTCTTCCCTCTGCATCAGAATCCCAGAAGGGTATTCTCTGGATGGCATGATAACCAGAATACAGTCTAAATTAAGATTTATCCAATCTACATGCTCATCCAATATTCTGTTTTCTACCCATTGTAATTCTTTTTCTGCCACAGCGTATTAATATTCAAGGACTGTTTAGGTCCTTATCACCATTATGGGACATTTTTAAATGCTTTAAGTCATGTCCTTCTACAACAATAACTGTCGGTAGTTGAGAAATTTCCCATAGAAGGTTCTGAAGACTATTAAGAGTTTGATACCGATCCCTTCTAATTTGTACCTTTTGAGGTCTGATTCTTTGTAAGTCTATCTTGTAACCTAAATACTTAATAGAATCTCCTCTTTATATCTTTTCTGGGGCAATCTGTAACCACCCATGAGGCAGAACTTCTTTCACCATTTCACACATGTGTTCCAGAGTTTCCTTATTGGAATCTGATAAAACAATATCATCCATGTAATGATAAACAAGAGATTGTGAAACTTTATGATTAGTTCCAAAGGTTGCTATACAAATTGCTGACACAAAGTAGGACTATTTAGCATTCATTGTGGCAAAATCCTCCACTGATGTCTTCTAACTGGCTCTGAATTATTAAGAATTGGTAGAGTAAATGCAAATTTTTCTCTATCATTTTCCTGTAGTTGTATTGTGAAAAAACAGTCTTTCAGATCTATGACCATGATCGACCATCCCTTAGGAATCAAGGATGGCAAAGGCATTCCAAGTTGCAGAGAGCCCATTGGTTGAATTACCTTATTTATGGCTCTCAGATATGTCAGCATTCTCCACTTACCTGACTTCTTTTTGATAACAAGTACAGGAGAATTCCAAGGGCTGGTAGATTCCTCTATATGTCCAGCATCTAGCTGTTACTGAACTAGTCTTTCTAAAGCCTCTAGTTCTCAGAGGTATAGGCCATTGTCCTACCCAAACAGGTTCATCTGTAAGCCATTTCAATGGCAGGGCCTTTGGCTCCTCTGAAGGTCTATCATTTGTAACTAGTTTCTGTACAGCCTGGATGGTTGGCAACCATTTTCCATAGCATCTTACCAGATCTTTTCTACCATCTAAAGATTGTACATAATTTGTATCAGACAGTGGAGGAATATTAATCTGAGTATTCCATTGCTGTAAGATATCATGACCCCA